CGGATTGGGTTCGTAGACTAGAGAATAATGGGTCAATACTGTAGAAAAGTGGGCCAAACGAAAAAAAAAAAAAAAAAAATAGAGAAAAAATAGAAAAATAGGTAAAAAAATTAAAGAATAGAGAATACTAGTAATGGGGTTCTAAAATGTAAAGTATATAGAATTATGGGTAAAAAATATAAGGTATATAGAAAAATGACATTAAATATTAAAGAATACATAAATGGACGACCTCCACCCAGACTCTCATTTATAACGGAGCAGAAACTCTCCATCTTCATAACAGATGTTCATCATTTAGTAATAGTAATTTGCTATGCGCGGTGATTCTTGAAAAAACAAAAATAGATAAAAAAAAAGCATGTTTTGTTTCTCGGATAACTTTGCTATAAAAAGTTGAATGTAAAGAGGATGGAATTTTCCATGTGATTGTAAAGGTTTAAAAAGGCTAATATTCAAGAATACTGATCGCACTTTGAAAGCTTAGTAACAAACTGACACACACAGTATGCAAACATTGGGGATTGCACGAGTCACAGAATGGAGTGAGATCAGGAACATTAAAACCATTATTATTTCTAGTGAAACTTACCACTGCTATCAGGTACGTTGTTCTGATCTGTCGAAATAGCATTATAAATGCCTTAATGTGATGACTAAGGGCAAAGAATGTAGTGAAACATACCACTGCCATCAGAAACTTAGTTCTGATCTGTCGAAATAGCGTTATTAATGCCTTCATGTGGTGACTAAGGTCAAATAATGCAGTGAAAAATACCACTGCTATCAGTTAGCTAGTTCTGATCTGTCAAAATACCATTATAAATGCATTAATGTGATGACTAAGGGCAAAGAATGTAGTGAAAAATACCACTCCTAACTGAAACCTAATTCTGATCTGTTGACATAGCCATGTCCAAGCCTTAATGTGATGCTATCAAACGCATATATCATTTTATCTATGGAATCCATAATATATGTGACTGTACAAGTAATATTATTTTGCTTGTTCGTTGCATCTTTAAAAGCTGGAAAAGTAGCACCCTCGAGGAATATATTTATACTTTAGATTTTCTACCCCAGGAACAGATTACCTTAACTGTATTTGGCAAAACCTTTCGGAATTTCGGGTCCTAAATGATCTTGAACTTCGTACTTATTTTGGTCTTTTAACTTTTTGAATTCGAGCGTCACTGATGAAACGCTCATCTGCCGTACAAAGTCATAAGCCTAGTATATTTGACGAGTTTTGTAATGTTAGAATGGCGATCGTTACATCGGCAAACAGAAAAAAAATATAACACACAAACGTATAGTTGCAAATAAAAATCTGAAAACTTGGACACCTGGCAAATCAAAATGTGCGCAAGTGTACACAAATTCCTTCACCTAATCCAGATGCCATTTAAATTTTCGATGGATGGCGTAAATTTTATCGTCTAAACTTAAAAGAAAAAGTCAGATAAATGTAAATATACAATTCTCTAAAATTATCATAATATTTGTTAACTTGAAAACAGTATGAATGATTGCAGGAGTGGGACTACATGAAAGGGCTGATGAAGAAGACGGGACGTGATAACATAATGAATCGTTTTAAGAACTTCAGACTTGACGACGTGCCCACCAGAGAAATCGGAATTGCACAGAAATTGGTAGTTGACTACCATGAATCTCAAATTAGACAAATCAGCATTGGCGCCACATCTTTATTTAACTGGGTAAATAATATGTTGTCTTTAAGCTGAATTAAGAAAAAAATTCAACAATATGAAAAAAGTTACGGTCATATAGTGATGAGGGACTTTCCGTTTTGAATTTTCCTCGGAGTTCAGTACTTTTGTGATTTTACTTTTTTTTATAGTAAGCAACTTAGAAAAAAAAAACAGAAATCCTGACGTTCAGATACGGTACTCAATAATAAACAAGCATCTATATCATATGTAATAAAATCACCGAGAGTTTATTCAACAAAATCAATTGCAACGAAACTCCTGACTTTTCTCAATTCTTGCTACACTAGTGGCATCCGTTGTAAAACCTCCGTGATAAAAAGCATTATGTAATAAGTTATAAATGAGGAAAGGAGGATTGTATGGGATTATAATTTAGTACACCAGGATGTAGAAAAACCTCATTATTTTGAGTTTGTTTGAAGGTTTTAAAAACAGACAATTTAAAAAATGACGTATCAATAAAATTTTACAGGTGCGGTGTCAACCGATCATACGCTTGGGGAAACGCAAGCTCTGAAATATTGAATCAACTGGGAGATATGCACTCCTTATGGAGGTGCTGCGCTAGAATGTTGCTACATAAAAATGGAAAGCAAACAATGTCAAAAGTGAAGTCATCTCTTTTGCCCTAAATAACCGTCGATTTCTAGATATACGTCATGTTTTGAAGAACATGTAGCTGTATCTGTGGTATCCATCAATTGCAATGCGATTTTCGACATCAAAATATTCACCAATCGTTTTATAATTCAGTAGAAGGACAATTCAATGTTAACAAAACTATGTTAATTTTAGTGATATATGATTATGATAAGACAGCCATTATTTGAGAACATAAAACACTTTGACGGCAGTAACATGTGATAATAAATCATTTTAGTAAGGCCTTTGCTTATGTCGAATTATGAATGAGAGTGTCTGGAAATGAGACTATGTTAACAGATCCCCTTACTCATGCTAATTGCAAGACGTTTAAAAATGTAAAACAAATATATAAGTCACCTGAAAGATATTGTTAGATGAATTTATGATACTTAGTGATATTATTTTACAAGAAACCAATGCAATGTCATTAATATACCTATTCCTTTTAGCGTCTATATGAAATACTATTTAGAATATACTATTTAGAATATACTATTTAGAATATACTATTTAAATCTCTTGTTTTCAATTTGATGCAGATGTCTTAGGTTTTTTGAAATATCGACTTTGCAATATACACATTAGGGGATCGGCATCATTTACATGTAATTATTCATAAAATACGGGATGCAGTTCAAGAAAATTTTCTATTCTAATTTTATTTCATTTTTAGATCCAACTAATATTTGTGGTTTCCAATAACAAAACGTGACATTTGTGGTATCTGCAGTAATTTGGGAGGACATTAATTTACGCTCTTTGCTGACAATTTTTTAGTTGCTGTTGGTTGATATTTACCCAACATCTCTCTTTATTCTTGCATCAGGAACTAATTAGATATACACACAGTATAAAAATAAGGAGATATGGTATGGTTCCAAATGAGATAACTATCTACAGAGTTCAAATAACGTGGGTTTAAGCAACCCAAGACCACCGTACGACCTTCAACAATGAGCAAAACCCATACGGTATTGTCAACTATGAAAGGCCCCGACATGATAAAATTCAGGTCTTCTTCTTTCGGTTATTTTTAGTATTTAAGAAAGAGCAGTTATTTATAAGATGACAGAACATTTCCTTCCTCTACACTTGAGTAAAGTCTATCAATATCGGTTCCAAATAAACATGGCTAGAGCTCTTACAGTCGTGTTCTATATCCATACTATCCAAACCTAAATATGAAAAGTTAATCTGACAAATTTTGTTGTAGCTTATAGAAATTCTGCAAGTTAAAAACGTAGGAAGTCCAACAGAGAGGAGCAACAATATAGGATATCCACGTTGAAGGATGTAAATACCCACAGCGCCTCTTTAAAAGAAACAACGTACAATACAATAGAGACAATCATTATTGATGTCGTTTAGTGATTCAGTTTTGAATAAGTGATCAAAATCTAAATCACTTTAAAACTTTTACTTTAATGCTTGACCTTTTAGTGGTGACATTATGAATTTGTAAAATGAAATGTGAAACAACCATTGCATTAAGTTGAATGAACTTGTGATTTTGTAAAATAAAAAAAAGGAAATTAGATATTAAATCAAGTCCAAACAAATTTGAAACATCTGTATACAGTGATACCCCTCGAATCCGCCAAAACTGTAAATCAGTGTAAACTGAACTCTTGTTTCATTACATACAGTGAATTCTCGTTTGAACTTTTACCAATGAAAAAACTGAATACTAGTCTTTTCATACCGAAAGTTTTTTTATCACGATGGAGTTCGGTTTTTACAGGTTCCTTTCCACAGTGGAAATTTTTGAGAATACAATCATCATTGAAACGACTGGAGAATTTTCTTCATAGGTGTGACTGTATATAAAATGTTATTTTATGAAAAAATATATATATTCTGTTGGTTATTCATAACGCGATATTTTGTCTTAACAGTTTTGTATCTTATACATTAATATTTACGATACAGTATTGATCGCTGAATTTGATATGGAAAAATATTGGACATTTGTGTACATGCAGCTTATACTAAATTCAATTTTTGAAATATTTAAAAGATCTTTGTAATGTCAACTTTATGGCGCATTATAACTGTGGCACAAATCCTATCAAAATAAAGAAAAAAAAATATAAATCAGAGCTACTGGTATACGTCTTACTTTAATCATTACCATTGGTCGATAAATACTGTTATTGAACTGCTTGTCTCCGAGAAAGTACCATTTGCACTGTAGTCAATGTTTCGAATTTGTTATTATTATAAGATAAATTTAGATGATTTTCGGATGACAAATTGTACTACAAAATTAGGTTTCAACTCCATAATGCCAAATTTATCTAACCATCTCGTATTGTTTGACATATACAGTGCATCAGTCTCTCAACTCACTAGCGACACGCAGGTTTAGAACTTAAGGTACCAGTATAAACGTCTGACCTTTGACATATCTTCCCAGGTTTAGAACTTTAGATACCAGTATAAACGTCTGATCTTTGACATATCTTCCCAGGTTTAGAACCTTAGGTACCAGTATAAACGTTTGACCTTTGACATATCTTCCCAGGTTTAGAACTTTAGGTACCAGTATAAACGTCTGACCTTTGACATATCTTCCCAGGTTTAGAACTTTAGGTACCAGTATAAACGTTTGACCTTTGGCATATCTTCCCAGGTTTAGAACTTTAGGTACCAGTATAAACGTCTGACCTTTGACATAGCTTCCCAGGTTTAGAACTTTAGGTACCAGTATAAACGTTTGACCTTTGACATATCTTCCCAGGTTTAGAACTTTAGGTACCAGTATAAACGTCTGACCTTTGACATATCTTCACAGGTTTAGAACTTTAGGTACCAGTATAAACGTCTGACCTTTGACATATCTTCCCAGGTTTAGAACTTTAGGTACCAGTATAAACGTCTGATCTTTGACATATCTTCCCAGGTTTAGAACTTTAGGTACCAGTATAAACGTCTGACCTTTGACATATCTTCACAGGTTTAGAACTTTAGGTACCAGTATAAACGTCTGATCTTTGACATATCTTCCCAGGTTTAGAACTTTAGGTACCAGTAACAACGTCTGATCTTTTCCCGATTGTATCTTATTCCCGATTGTGACATTTCATTTTTAACAGGACTGGGTCGATACCGCTGCTGACGGACTATCCTTTTACGAGGGTATCATCAGCTCAGTAGTCAGTACTTTAAAAAATAAAATACTGACATGATTTATAACAAACCTTTCATAAATTGTTCGTTTTTAAATTCAGAAATTACTAAGAGACCAGGTTTCAACTCCCTCAAGGAAAATAAAAATAAGAAGATTAGGTATGATTGCCAATAAGACAACTCTCCATAAGTAACCAAATGACGTAAAAAGTTAGCTACTATGGGCCATCAACAATGAGCAAAACCCACACCTCATAGCAAGCTATAAAACCGACAAATGTATAACCATTCAAACGAGAAAACCAACGATATATGTATAAAACAATAAACGAAAACCAAATATAATATACAACTTAAACGACAAACTTTACCTTAGATGATTTTGGCATTTTTGGTCATATTGTTCTTCAACGGTTTTGGTTCTTATACATCTGTAGTTCTCAAATATTCGGCTTTTAAGACAAATGCTTCGGACGTATGACATTTAGAAAGTATTATTTTCTATTATGTCTGTTTATTTTGCTCACACATTGCTCACATATTTTTGTCAATTTGGAATTCTATGCGACTGTCATACATCGTTTGATGTGTTCGAGCTTTTGAATTTGCCATATGAGAATGGACTTTCCGTTTTGAATTTTCATTAGAGTGCGGTATTTTTGTTATTTTACTTTTCATTTGTTGAGTGTGGATTCACTTTGCGGTTGATGCTTTTAAAGCAGGAGCCACTTCCTCTGTCGATGCACCCTGTCACACTCCTTCTGACAATTGTTACCTTAATTATCTGAACAGTTTTGCTGTTCTTTTTAGACTCCTTATGATAAGCAAACTCCTATATTATCATGTATTCCTTATGTACATAATAATTGAATGAATAAATGGGAAAGATCGTATGTTGGCATCATGTGCAATAAAATTGGACCGTTAATGTTATTATAAAAATTGACAGAAATAACATTAAGTTAATATGGAGTTCTAAAATAACAAATTTCTGTATCTGTACATCATTCTTCTTTATAAATTTTTCGTCCTAAATATGCATGAAAAATTTGCCAGTAAATGTACTATAGGTTGCAATTCTGTAAATATACACAATGCAATTTCCCATAGGAACTCCCTTTGCGGCTAAAACTGTGACACTTTTACTATGAAGTTTCGTGAAAAATAATATCCCAGAACGGAAAGTTTATATGCACTACTTTTTTATTCAAAGGTCAAAATATAGGGCTGTGCGGCATATTTTCAACATTTATATGCCCTGAACTTCTAAGAGTTTAAACTTATACTAAAATTCTATACTACCCTTACCTTCATATTTGGACTTCCTAAGAATTAAAATTTAGGCGCTACCATGTTTTTCTATACTGGTTACATTCCCAAGTGATGTCTCTATGAGATGAAACACAGAGATCATAAATGGGAACCAGTACATTAACAAATTAACATATCTATGAATATTATATATCTCCCCAAAAGAGGCGTGGTTTGAGAAACAGCTGTATTTACAAAGTGCAACCTATACAAACATTTATTCAAATAGAAAACCTTCTAAAAACACTTTTTCTCACAACAATATTTATCTATCAGAATTATAGCCTTAATGAGATCACTGCATATACTCTAAGTTTCCTTTTACAGTACATTTTATACCCCTACCCCTATTTCAGTTTTTTAAAGAATTTGAAAACAATACTTTAATCATTGCCAGCTTACCCTATGTGCATGTTTTCTGACATGAAATGTCTAAAACATGTTTGAAACTATTCTGATAACAAATTGAAAGCATTTTAGAATACTATAAATGTATTGTTTAGTAGTTAATCATTCCAACATTCAAGATTATACAAAGTATCCAATCCTGCCTGTGTCTCCAGTCCACATCTTACTGTATGCCTATTTGTCAATGAAAGTTCACAATTTATATCTCAAATAGTCAGTTAAGAATTCTTGTCACAACAGTATCATCTCTAACCATATAACTAACATAAGTTAGTTAATGTATGAACTAGAAGTGTCTAAACAAAGCCATATTTGCAAAATTGTATTTAAGAAGATATCAGTCTGGTGCATAAATTCACTAAAAGTTTGATAGAAATGACTGCTTACATCTTATTTTTGCATAACTTTCCAGCACAGTTATTGTTTTGGTTACAAAAGACCTTGAAAATAATAAAATCATAGCATTTACAAGTTAAATTATCTGTTTTATGACCCAGGGTAGGCATTTTTTTTCTGTTTTTTGCCCCCTGGGGCCTCACATTTCCTAAATATTTTCCCTGTTTCTAGCAATGTGGAGTATTTAGTACATATTTAGGATAGAACACACTATTGTAAGTTTTATTGAGGTCTTTTTGTAATTCTAGCTTGTACATTTTAATGCCGCGGTCACAAAAAAACACATTTAGGTGTTACGGCTTACTTTTGGGTTATCGACAGGACAAAAATAACCTAACAAAATTATTTAGGAAGGATCAACGAGTTGCAATGACTGCGAAGAGTAAATTTAAGCACTTCTAAACAATTTAAATCACAAATAGGCATATATTATGAATTATTTTGAATTCAGGGCTTTAAGTAAACCATGCATACTGTAAACTGTGAATTTATGCTGAGTCATCATAGTTAAGGCTCAGGATTTTCTCAATCTTCATGAAATATTTATAAAACTTCATATTTGAGTTAAATTCTTTAAAATCTCTGAGATAAACCAGATTTTGTGAAATTCTGTATGTTCTATTTTTTAACCCTATATAGGTTGCAATTCTGTAAATATACACAATGCAATTTCCCATAGGAACTCCCTTTGCGGCTAAAACTGTGACACTTTTACTATGAAGTTTCGTGAAAAATAATATCCCAGAACGGAAAGTTTATATGCACTACTTTTTTATTCAAAGGTCAAAATATAGGGCTGTGCGGCATATTTTCAACATTTATATGCCCTGAACTTCTAAGAGTTTAAACTTATACTAAAATTCTATACTACCCTTACCTTCATATTTGGACTTCCTAAGAATTAAAATTTAGGCGCTACCATGTTTTTCTATACTGGTTACATTCCCAAGTGATGTCTCTATGAGATGAAACACAGAGATCATAAATGGGAACCAGTACATTAACAAATTAACATATCTATGAATATTATATATCTCCCCAAAAGAGGCGTGGTTTGAGAAACAGCTGTATTTACAAAGTGCAACCAGTAAGCAACACACAATCATTTTTATGATGTTTACGTTACAGAAACTAAATTGACATGTAAAGGTTCAAAACGTAGATGTAATTTCTTTTTAGAATAAATATATATATATTTCAGGTCTTATAGTCATAGTCATTTTCTTCTGAACATCATATTTATCCTTTATCGCTGATTTTATGACGTTTGTTTTACTCGTCCTTCTTGGGATACTATTGATGACGAAATGTTTAACAGATAGTGGCCCGAAACGTTAAAAGCGTGGTTTGACATTAATCACTTATTTTCATAATGTATAATATGAAAAACTTTCAAGCAAGGACTGTACTATGCGGAAAAAATCTCGCAAACTAACATTCCGATCCTGTGCTAGTAATTTAAATTCAATATACAAAAACTAATTTTATATGAATCGCCTCAGCCACATAGATAGTTTGTCATTCAAAACGATGCGGAGTTATGTATATGCTTGTAATCATGAAAATTAATCTCAAAAAGATAACCACTCGCTTAAAGGGAGGGAGATAACAGGCAGGAAATCTTAAACCACAAACCGAAGTAAGACGGACAACACCATTTGCTCAGAAAAGATAATCACTCGCTTAAAGGGAGGTAGATAACAGACAGGAAATCTTAAACCACAAACCGGAGAAAGACGGACAACTCCATTGGCTCAAATAAGATAACGACTCGCTTAAAGGTAGGGAGATAACAAGCAGGAAATCTTAAACCACAAACCGGAGAAAGACGGACAGCACCATTGGCTCAGAAATGATAACCACTCGCTTAAAGGGAGGGAGAAAACAGCGGAAAATCTTAAACCACAAACCGAAGAAAGGCAGACGACCCCATTGGCTCAGAAAAGATATACACTCGCTTAAAGGGAGGTAGATAACAGACAGGAAATCTTAAACCACAAACCGGAGAAATACGGACAACACCATTGGCTCAAATAAGACAACGACTCGCTTAAAGGTAGGGAGATAACAAGCAGGAAATCTTATACCACAAACCGGAGAAAGACGGACAGCACCATTGGCTCAGAAATGATAACCACTCGCTTAAAGGGAGGGAGAAAACAGGCGGGAAATCTTAAACCACATACCGAAAAAAGACTGACGACACCATTGGCTCAGAAAAGATATTCACTCGCTTAAAGGGACGGAGAAAACAGGCGGGAAATCATCTCTGTTTTAAAGTTTAGTTCTCAACTGACACTTACTGTCACTTCTAGATGCAAGCCAAGATATGACGACTCTAGGAAAAACATATACCCAAAACGTCACAAATAATGTCGTCAATAAAACAAATCAAACATATTGTTAATGTAAAGAATGCTTATGAAACTGGTTTTGATTGCTGATTAATAAAAAGGAACAGTGATTTACTGATATTCAAAATTTTACATCAATTATGAATATAGAATCCAAGAAAAAAAACCTGAGGCAATTACTTGCACTCCAAACAGAGCAATACTGGGTTGTTGAACAGGGTATACATATCCTGTCGTGCAGCTGAGTCAAAATGATAACTATGAAATAGAACACAATCGGCAAATTAACAAATCAGATGACTTTTCTACTTATTAAAGATCTGAGGAGTGGACAATTTATTTTTCGTGAATTAAGACGTTTCGATCAACTAGACGATGAAAAGTACCGTAAAATTTGCGTATTGTCGATTTCCGTTGTTCTCTCTCCAAACCCTGCTGGATGAGTTTTGGGTTAGATTGTAAATGAAAACTGTATAACGTGAACAGCACACGAGTGACGCATCCATTTAGATATGTAAATGTCATTAGAAGGGATAGAGGGCTTGTTACTGAGAAACAGGAAGATGAAAACTGAAATTATTACGTGTGTCATTGGTCCTGGTTGGAAGTCGTCTTTTCGAGGCAATTTTAAAAAAGAGATCTAGATATAGCAAACCGTCTTGTTTCATTAAAATTCTTAGTTTCAGATTCACAGGAATGTGGGAGATGTAAGCACTTGCTAAAATGTGGATTATTAAGTGACAGAACCTCATCAATTTATCGGAACGCGGCGCTAAATAACTTTGCAAATAGTGGTTAAAATTGATTTCGCAACAAGTATCTTGAGGCTTTGGCAGACACACAAGAATATGACGTCGTTTGTAAAGACACTTATGTAAATTGGTAAATTGGGTATCCAGTGGAATGAAAGAAGATTCAGTTTTCAATCATTAGTAGAATTTCAAAAAGAACATAATTATATTACGTTTCCAGGAACGGCCAACGCCTAACTTCTTTCTTAATTAGTTTACACTAAGTAATGTTTTTGTTAAACGATATTGTTTGTGGTTTTATTTCGGTGACAGGAATATATATATATATATCTTCATTGGGCTGTATTACAGGCATATCCACAGCAGGGACAGAAATTGTATTACAACCCTATTAAATACAGGTAACCATATTCCATTTTATAGTTACTTGGAATAGTAACGGATCGAACCATCGCTGTATATTTTTAATAACGGTATTATTTTTTTAGACATATTGAATGAGTGAATTTTTGCATATGTTCAATATGTCATAACTGAAAAAAATCGCTGAATATACTTGTGGTGGTGCTGATCTTCAACAATGTTCATTTTATAGTTTTAAAAAATGTAAAAAGAACGATAAACAACCAGGGATTATGTTTATTTTGTATACGAACAACTGTTTTAAAAATAACAAAATATCGTATTTAGTTGTCAATGAATAATATGTAAGTACTAGCATATCAATTCCCTTGAATAAGGTAACTAGTGTTATTTGCAGTTTATATGTTCAATGGTACTTTTGAATATGCTATAAACTTTGAATAACGAACAGTCTGTCTTCTATTTATCATGGTTCAAAAAGGTTTTATAATCCTGATACCAAATATGTGATTGTCGAGAAACACTATTGTCTTCTTTGCAATGGAATTCATGTTTTTCTCTCGCTATTTCGTTCTCTAATACCCCTGTTATAAGAAAAATAATAATGTCACCTTATATACTTATAATAAACCATTTCACACAACTAAAAAATGCAGCTATATTGTCTTAAATGATTTTTTTGTTGGTACGAGCTATCATTGGTTCACAGCACAATTTCTCTTGCTTCATTTCAACTGCTCATATATATCCAATAACACATAATACCAACTCCTTTTGTATTTGTACTTTGTACTTACCAAGACCAACCAAACGTTTGCCACACGTGGAGCAGGATCTGCTTATCGTTCTAGAGCACCCGAGATTCCCATGATTTTTGGTGCGGTTCGTGTCGTGTAGTTTTGTATGTTGAATGAAATACGGCATAGTGTATAAATGCCTGAATACGTGAAAAGCTAGACGACCATCATCTGACTTGGAATATTAGTTTCTTAATTTATCAACTGAGAAATGTATGTTATAAATCATTTCAGTACGGAACACATGACTTCTGAACTTATTATCGTCTCGGGGACTAAAATCCTATCAGTATCGGTATCGACCCAATTCTAGTAAATAAATATAACACAATATAACAGAAACAACTTCTAACATTTTCTTAGACTGACGTTTCTGCGTACATTTGTTTTGTATTTTTACATCTATGGCTTTCGGACGCACGAAATGTATAAAGAGTAATTGGCAAATAGAACAGTAGTACTTTGACAACTTTTGTATGTTCCTTGCATAATTCCTAAAAGTAACGCGGTCATTCAATTGTTCTAAATTATTTTTATTTTTCGTTTATAAAAATAAATGGTAGCTATTTAAATCATTATTGATTACGTGATCGACATTTATTACCATACTTTCTGAACAATACTTACTCCTTTTCGGGATAAACCTGTTCTTGCATGATAGTTTGGCGCTTTGTGATATGCTAGTTCCGTTGGTCGTCCACCTCGTGTGGCAGATAATCTATTTCTATCACCCTCAAAAATCCTCCCTTTCACATTTCCTGACGGAGATTTACTAAAGGAAAGTAACTGTACTTTGTATGGTTTCATGATAAATTGTTTTTGTGCTTTTCTGTTCTCCCCTGTATGCCCTCTCGATCCTTCTCTCGATAATATTCCCCTTCTCATGGATTGAAGCTTACCCCTGTTGTTCCATTTACTGTGTTTAGATAACATAATACTAGCTTTCTTTGTCATAGTTTTGAAACGATTGGCATTTTCGCGTACCCAATTCAAAATTGCCTTCAAAGCTGGACTTACAGATAATGAATTGGCTGTATTGGAAACTGAAGGCGAGATAGAATGTTTTGTTTTAGCCCCTAACATGGCGATTCTTTTTAGTTGCATAACTGACTGTTCTAAGTTCTGTGAGTTCTTTTTGGTGACTTGTGACGATTGTAAACGTGAGCGTGAAATACGATGATCTGTTGGTATCTGAGTGATCACTGGAGATCTGCTGTTTGGAGAAACAATGATCTTGTCGTTTTGAAATGCGTTACTAAAATCCAAAATGACAGGCATGTCCAGTTGTCTGCCTACAGATATTGCATTATTAGAATCAACAACCACATGTTCATTTTTATGGTTCATTACGAAATCATTCTGAACTTGCGATAAAAGATTAATTTTGAAATCTTTGTTATGCAATTGATTGTCTGTTTTGTATTCAGGATACGATTGCCCACGTTCATTTTGAAGTCTCGCATCATACCTTTCTTTGAGCGGTAATTTCATTGGATAACTTGGTCCTGGAAGATTTCTTTCTGGATATTGAATAATTTGATCCTTACCAGATGGTGTCTTCTGATGAGACAGTTTACCTATTACCTCACCAGTATGAGGATCTATTATATCAATTTCATTATCCCGAATCCCAGAATCCAGCAAGCGTATTACCTCCATAGCCAGTGGAGAATGGTTTGATGGAGGTAGTTGACTTGCTTCAGGCGATGCAGGAAATTTTCGGTCCATTGGTAAGAGCTGTCTCTCAGTAATAACTAAATCTAATTTTCCGGTCTTAGGATTTTTCTCAATTGAAAATGTTGTATCTGGTACTGACACTTCAGGATTTTCCAGTGATGAAATTCTACTTTTACTTTGAATGGTGGCAGGTTTTGAGTTCTGAGTTGTGGCACTGTTTTTTCCAAAACGTCCATTGGATTTTGTTTGTGATAGCTTCCCGAAAACAGGTGTACTTTGAGGTGTCGCATAGCTTATGAATAAAGCTAAGGCAACAAACCACTGTCTAACCCTAAAACGGTAAACGAGAAACTATAGATCACTACAGATTTCCTTATCATACAAGAAATAATAATAATATATATATATAAGTCTCTAAAACTTTGTTATAAGAAACTTGGCTAGGAAACTACAAAATATACAATATAAAGAATATATGAAAGGACAAATTTTCAAGTTTAAAGATTGATGAAACTCTCTTATGGTAATACGCGAGTTATCACCTATGTATTAGACATTTTAGCAAAATTTACTTGTTCTTGATTAAACAAAAATACTGTTTCATGTCTAACCCTTCTAGTTTTTTGTGCCAAAAACTGTTTTGCGTTTATTTTGAATTTTGAAATAATTTTCATCTGAAAACTATATACAGTAAAACCTGAATAAACCGGTCGGATATGGGACTATGAAAAAGGGCCGGTTTGGACAGTGGGTCGGTTTATTCAGGATTCCGTTTTGACAGGAAGTATTTTGGATGTAAATGTTTTGTCTAATTGTAAATTGTTAACTGATAAATGCAAATACCGTAATAGTCTATTTATTAAAAGTTATGTCATGATTTGTGTGAAAATATTGTGACATGAACATTACAAGTGTTCCCTGCCTTTTAACAATTTAACTACGCACGATCGTTGTTATGAGTCTTCGTATTCATTGTCCCTCGAATTAAACAAAATAATATTTTAACTTTGTTTTACATAACCTCGTACGTCAAATCGACCTCGATAGCATCAGCCTCCGACTTGTCAGTTTCACTTTGATTTCAGGTCGTTTTTCATTTGCATCAAAACCCTCGCGTTGTTTGAATTATTCAACGAGAGTTTTGTTTTACATATACTTCCATCGTTCATTTCCTACTTTGGCATAGCCAATTAAAAACAAGGATTTTGAAAAACGAAATTGCATCATGATCGAAACATTATCGTACTTCTAGTTTACAAGAGTTCAGGTAAAAGACAATCTTCTTTTTAATTTTGTGTTGAGTGTATTGATAAAAAGTATTTAACTCAATAACATTTACACTTAAGAACATGAGATGACTCTCGGTTTTTGGTTGGGTTCGAGCTGCTCATTTCTAGTTTTCTATGTTGTGTTTTGTAGACTATTGTTTGTCTTTTGGTCTTTTTTCGTTTTTTTTCCATGCCTTTGTCAGTTTGTCTACGACTACGACAGTTTGAATACCCCTTTGATATCATCGACCTTGCTTTTGACGCAACGCTCTTGGCGCAATGATATACCAAATACATTGATGTTTAAGATGCTATTGCATGGTTAAATATGTTTATGAGCGACCAACCCTATCCCTTAACTGGGACAGTGATGTAACAGTCAACATAAGAACAATCTGAAAAAAGTTGCAATTGGCTTAATTCAAAAGATCGGTACGAAACACAAAAATAACTAACATAAAACCAATCGACACAAAGCACCGAGATAGAAGTACTCGCAGTTACTGAACGGTAGTTCAAGGTCAATTACAACTAATACTGTGTGTTACATGAATCACGTTCATCTAAACGTAAGAAACAATCAGTACACATCCAAAGGATTTAGTGTAAAGACGTCATAAACATTCTGAAAAACCCATGACGTTGTGTAATGCCAAAATATAAGTAAACAGTATCGACAGTATATAGGATCATGCATTCTCATAATTCTACATATATCGCAATATACTGTAAACCAATTTATTTTCGCGGATAGTTTATTTTGCGTTTAGCCAATATCAGCTGACTTTGCGGCGTTTTATTTTCGCGGTTTTCCAATTTTTCTTGATGTATTTATATGAGAGAAGACCCCAGTTTTATATTTTACGCGACGATTTATTTTTTGGGAATTTTTTCCACTCTCGAACGTCGCGAAAATAAATCGCTTGCGAAAATTAGGTTATTTACAGTATACTTACTTATGTGTTGATTACAAAAAATCAAATGTTGATATCGATAAAAACAATATTTGAAAATGTTGCTTCTTTGTTTAATTGATAACATTTAAGAATAAGTTTTTTTTTAAGGATTGATAAGTTAACATGACACGTATCTAAATTTACAGACTTTATAAACAAAATCACCGTAAAAATTAGAATGTAATATTCCGTTTTTGTACACGTACAACCAAACTTCCTAACCAAATCTTGTATCTATGAAAGAATTTGATACATGTTTGAATAATTTATTGTTACGAAATCCCTGATTTAATAATTTTCCAATTTTACATACATTACGTTCATTGAAATCTAAAACGCAAATACAGACACGGGTAATTTTTGGTTTTTGATGTTTTTTATGGCATTCGAACTGTTTCGATTATAGCGCCACTGATGAGTCTTATATAGACCAAAAAATGCGCATCTGGCACACTAAATTATAAGCCTTGTATACTAGATTAGTTTTTTTTTGTACATAAGTAAATTTGTTTTGCTAGCCAACTTATTAACATTTATGGTCTAAAATGCTGTCTACATTTATATTTTGGCATTGGACAAGGTTAAGCTTTTCTCCAACTACTGATGACTTCATACTAAATTCGTTGATGTTTTTACTGATTGATATTCTAGCCTGGGAGAACATTTTATTTATCAGTTGAGATTAGTCTTTGAGCAATCTTCCGGTAACTGTGTTCACTCTTAGATCGGCATATACAACTGACTTTTACAGTGTGTTCCTTTGCTTTGCGGTCACACTAATATCCAATGTTAGTGTTTAATGAGGGGTACAAGAGAGAGAGAGAGAGGTTAATGTCTAAAACATGTTTCATCGCGCAACTTTCTTTTTATGTATAAGAGTTTCTTTCCTTTGTTTGTAGAAAAATATCAATCGAAACAACTTATTGAGGTGATGATAGACTGAGTCTGATTCTTCTCTTATGAGTTCCACCAATGATAGATGCTTCGGTTATACTAAAATCTGTACTTGTATCATATATATATTTATATCAATTTATTAAAATTAAAAGGGCCTTTTAGTTGATATGTTACATTACTTTCGAAAAATTATTTTGTTTTTGTTTTGGTAGTTAAAAGTAGAAAGTTCTTCCAAAAAACGTTCGTATCTAAAGTGAGATGGATAAACACTATGGGGCGTCATCTTGAATATTTTGCCGATTATTTATCGATTTTAACAGTGAATGTTTTTGAATTTGCAAACATATAAACAAAAATAAAAATAAAAATTCCGTATTTATCACATGTGATTATTAAAATCCTGATCTGATTTTAAAAGATAGACTTTAAAATTTTTTGAATATTTAAGCTTTAATTTAAAATTAGCCCGAGACAGTAACTTTTGATAATATTATTAGTATACAGCAATCAAAAACGATTTTTCTTGAAATAACTTTAAAGAAGTGATTTAAAAAAATCTCCGTAAGCAAAATATTAAATTTCCAATTTTTTTGACTTTCATCAAATATTGATTTTCTGCTTTATATCTTAGATAAAACAAACATACAGTTAGGAAATGAAAACGGTATTTTTGAAACTAACTTGTAAATGCATAACGGTAATTTAAGAAAAGTTATCGTATAATAATTAATGTCTTTCTACTTGAAATGACGTATTTTTAAGTAATAACATATATGTCCGTGCACCTCCTGTAGAGCACAGCCCTGACATAATTTAACAAAATAAAAAATAATAATCTTCATTGAAAATGTTAACCTAGCATACTACTAATATTAAAAAATGTACATGTTTAAATGCATTAATTATTACAAAATGTTGAGATGATACACATATGAATAATATATACAAATTTATTACACTTTTACGTTCCAACCTTTGAAAAGAATCATGTATTCATATAAACCGTTTGTCTACTTACTGCTTATGAATGGAACTTTACAGTCGTTAATACTTTAGTTTTTCGTTTGAATTAAAAAAAAAAGATAGCTCGTGTGCTGTGAAATTGGGATTTAAATTCAATCACTAAAAAAACTGCGCTGTGGAGTTTACCTCAGCTGTTTCAAAGGACAATGTTTAGAGCAACTTTATTTTGAAAGCGCTTCCACAAAATCGCAATAACATTATTCTTTTTGTAGTTTTATCACGGTAATCTCACAATGAAAATACAGTCAATGTCCATAAGAAGTTAATTCTTATTCATATGTTGCAATTCTATTTAGTATATGTTCCTGGAAGTTGTGATAATTCCCCGACTTACATTTTTTTTTCAACGGCCAAAATTTTAACATTTTTTGTCATTTCTTAATTTAAGGGTTATATTCTACAACAAAATAGAAACAGAAACTTTCTGTTTGTTTTGAAAATATTAATTTTTTTTTTCAGAAATGATATTGATGAATGTTTGTGAAGGGTAATGTATTGTCTAGCATACCGAGTAAGAGGTGCTTATATAATGTATACACAAAACTCATTAAAGATGCATTAGCAAATCAGACAATTCAAAATTAGGTATTTATAAAAGTGATAAATATCTAATTTCGAGTTCTTGTAGTCTAAATTATTATGATTTCAGAAAAATACAGTATAGATACGCCATTTTTGAATAGAATGTTTTAATTTTGTGTTTATCAATTTTAAATGAACTATCCGAAGCAACTACGCTAAAACAATTTTTATTTGTATAAAAAATGAATTTTAATTTTTTTTTATATCTGTAGAGGAAAATTAAAGGCTAACACATTAATGCAAAAAGAAAATCACCAAAATGATTAACAAATAAGACTTACTGCATCATGAAAACAGTCACACCACAACTAACACATGGACAGTTATTATGTTAGTAATAAAATGTGTGTCACCCAAATTAAAATTATGTTAATTACTACCGTTGAGAAATATGGAAATAAGGACACGAGCAAAACTTTGAACCTGACTTCTTGCATATGTTTTTAAATTACAAAATCAATTAAAAATACTTCCTACGTATTAATTAATTTTCTCGCTAAGAATTAATGGCAGAGTTAATTTCTAAGTTTTGATAACAAAAAAGGAAGATTATAAATTACAGATAGTTAAAACATAAAATTTCCATTTCCTCAAACAGATCTTAACCTTACATTTGTTAAAACAATTGGAGAGTGGTTTTGTTGTGAAAATTCCATATTGATGTAGCAATTAACATTCGAGCAAATTATGGTGCAAACATCTCTCAGAGTGGAATGTCTAAGTTACAGTCCATTGTTACATAATACAACTTCAGATGGGTTAATAGCAAGTCAAATCTAAAAATGACCTACATAACTTATTTTATACTGTTATGGTATATATGAATAACATTGTGCATAGCATAGTTACACTTCCATCTTGATCATCGTTCTTCAGTCCATAGCTCCCACTGTGAGTTGATTCGCATGTCTAGTGATGAATACTCAGCAGGAAATACTTCCGGTTTTTCTTCTTTTAATTTGGAATTCATGTGATTCACTCAGTGTTTTTGGTTACTCTATTTGTCTTCAAAATCAATTTATGAGATTTAAATATCGGTTAACTACTATTACCTATATTTATGACCAGATTATACTAGATAGACTGTTACTCTCTGGACAACGTTTCAGCAATTGTTCACCGTGTTTTTTAAGGTGGCTAGGGCGTCTTAATTAAAGTCGAATAATTTGTCAAAATGAAGTATTTATCATGCTTTTTTCAAAAATATAATAAAAAGTATGAGTCACCGGACTTTTTTTCATGCTACAGGTAGTGCAAAATTGTCAGATTTTGTATAGATAATGCATGGAATATCAAATTTTGTGTAATAAAAAGAAAACTACCTGATAGAATTTTAAGATATAATGTGAGACGATAACTCTTATAACATGCTTTCAGATAAGAAAAAGAAAAACTTGTTTTCTTGCTACAGATTAAAATAGATAGATTCACAGCACTTTCTATTATAAAAATTCGTAAGGGTTCAGCGGAACCCAGTGTCTCGCCTACTTTTGCTGTTAATCGCAGGCTCAACAAAAATGAGGAAAAAAATCAATTAAAATATTCCTTAAGATACTATCTTTTGATTGTAAGAAGCTTCTGTCAAAGTTTGGTATAAATCCAGGATAGTTTATGATTGATTGATTGATTGTTGGTGTTTTAACGCCATTTTTAAGCGCCACATTTGGGCTATTTCGTGGCGGCCAGTTTTTATTGGTGGAGGAAGCCGGAGTGCCCGGAGAAAACCACCGACCTTCGATAGGAAAACTGACAATCCTAGTCAATTAAGATTGGAGTCGAGTGCACCCGCACGAGCGGGGTTCGAACTCACAACCTCAGTGGTGACTGGCTAGTGATTACAGTAGTACATGTAGAACTACTTAGACCACTTGGCCACCGAGGCCCCCAGGATAGTTTATGAATCTAATAAATGTTTTAAAAACTTTAACTGCAGACTGTATTTAATGTTAACTGGAAGAAAAACTAAGTTCATTTATAAGTAAAATACGGATAAACAGGTACAAAATTTTAACAAAATTTCCTTCTCGATACTATCTTTTGATCATAAACAAGCTTCTGTCCAAGTTTGGTACAAATCCAGGATAGTTTAAGAAAGTTATTAAAATTTTAAAAACTTTAACCACAGAGTGAATGTAATGTTTCCCGGCAGAAAAACTAAGTCCATTTACACGTAAAATACGAAAAAACAGGAATTTTATTTTTACAAAATTTACTCTGGATACTATCTTATGATCATAAACAAGCTATTGTCCAAGTTTGGTACAAATCCAGGATAGTTTAAGAAAGTTATTAAAATTTCAAAAACTTTAACCACAGAGTGAATATTTGTGGACGCCGCCGACGCCGACGCCGACGGAATGTAGGATCGCTATGTCTCGCTTTTTCGACTAAAGTCGAAGGCTCGACAAAAATGACTTTATCGGAATTATCTCCCCTTATTTGGCAAAGTTGAAAAAAAATTAATCAAACACAAATAAGGTGTTTTTGAGAAATTACAGCAATAATTATGATAAAACATACAATTTTCTATAATTGTATGAAAGTCTTACACATAAATTGCATACTACTCTCAAAATTTGCACATTTAATCAAAGATCTAGACCAACGTTATCTGATACTTCAGAATCCAAGATGGAAGAAGACATCCGAGCCACCTTAAGATCATCACAGTCACGTCTCAGTCCTTACAGCTGAAAGGACGTGCTGGATCAGCTCCTGATTACCCGTAGGCTACAACATGTTACGCTGCCCAGATGGTTCAACGACAAACTAGCTTATGATATTACCTTACAAGTAGACCCGCGTTAGCGACACTCTGAAACCCATTGTGGATGGGTGAGTGTCACATGCTGCCCAGACGTCCGAGGGCTATGTGTATTTAGCTTCGTGCAGGTTGCAGTCATCTACTACAGAGTCAATGATTCATCTACCAACAACACATCGTCGTGGTTAGCGGGCTGCCCAGCTGATTAACCTGGCCCTGAATACAGCCGTTGTGGAGTATCGACTGTAAAGAAACAACAAAATAGTAAACAAACCAAAAACAACTCAGCAAAACCAAGATGACGACCTACCAAAATGGCGTCTTCCACCTGTTCCTGACCCACTGCAGAAAATATTTTAATGCTCACCAAACGCCTTCGGGCACCGAGCCGACCGTGCGAGAGATGTACATCCAGTCAAGGTCGTTAAACACTTCCAGCTAGCGCCTTAAGAGGAATCATCTTGGTCAATCTGGTTCATATTGTGTATAATAAAGATAAAAAAAAAAAAAAAAAAAAAGTTCATATTGTGTAATATATTGTGGTCAATTTTTTTCGTCTCTTTCAGTCATAGTGTCACTTGTCATTCATCGATTGTTTACTGTCCCCCTTCGGATCATCTGTTTTTTAACATTCGTGCTCAAAGGATTATAGCGGTCAAAATATGCCAGTATTGATTAAACCTTACCCGATATTGAATATAATTTGTTTCTTTTTATCATCTATGTTCTTCTGTGATCCTAATCAACATCTAGCTAAGAAGTCAGCTGAAACCAGTGCCACGGCGTCTAGAACGAATGATAGTTAGGGATTAATTGTTTTCTCCTTGTTGAAGGCATCACTATGATTTACAGATCAAAAGCAACAATAAAAGCGCTCTTCCTTTGCTTCTGGTTTTGCAAAGTATGTGCAGGGCTTTTGTGTCATGAACAGTATTCCTCTATATATATTAAAAAAATATACATCTTTTTACAAAACAATTATATATCGGTTGCTTATCTTCTATTAACATAACATTCGCGAATATAAAGGGTCTCATGTTTAAAATTTTAAAATTCAAACTGAAAAAATAAGTACAGGAAAATAACACTTTAAAAATTATGGTGCGTCCACAGCGTATTGCTGAATGTACTTTCAGCAGGAACGATCATTTTAGAGATTGTTTACAAAAGGGACACAAAAAGCATAGCCAAATTCATCTAAGACCAATATTACCTGAGACTGTTGGATACTTAGTTTCTAGGTAATGTCTTCATTCACCAACGGCGAACTTAAATAAAAAATCATATAGATTATTTCTGTATCGAAACATTTGACTACTGAGCTTGTGATACCTCCAGGGACTAACAGTTCACCAGCAGCGGTAACCACCCAAAGCTAGAGAATGATTATAACACTTAACGAATTTGGTACGTTGATAGTGCTTTTCTCGTACGCTCAAACCCCAAAAATGTATAGATTTATAAATAAACAAAAAATAAATATCGAGTATAAATTTTCGATGATTGTCATGCTAAAAACTTCGACGTGTGCATATATTTAATTCTTCAGCTGTATGACTAGTTTCAAATATATTGTAATTAATATATATTCCAGACACGAATTTATTCTTAATAACATGAGAAGATACAACCAATCTTACTGTGTGTTGATAGTTGTAGACTTGAACTATTTAGATTCAAATCTTGCCGCTAAAATTCTTTATTGACACACACTTTATAGGAGGAAGTAAAATGTTGAATTTACGCACTTCAATAAAACATTGCTACTTTCAAATTAGATTCTTACTCCTCATTGCTTTGAGTCCATAGAGACACAAAAATTCAAAAACAAAACGAGTTATACGCCATATGAATCCAGGCTCAGTAAAACATTAAAATAAGAAACAAGGCAGGATCGGTCAGACTACAGGTCCGATGGCTAGTCTGATGTTTTTTTTAAGGATTCATGACCACGAAAACATTTAGAGATGAGACACAAACACATCTTACATACAAGTGAGAGGTTTAGCTAGTTATAAAACCAGGTTTAATCCACAATTTTTGAATTTCCCTTGGAGTTCGGTATTTTTGTTATTTTACTTCTTACCGGCTAACTTATTCGTGTTGGTTTCCGTAAAACGCGAGTGATTAAGGGTAATATGCTTTGGGGACAAGGTATCATCCAGACCTTTTAGGTATTTATAATTATTAACAACAACAATCAAGAGGACATGCTTAACACATATATTCATTTAAAAAAACACAACAATATCCATAAGAGCAAAGATCACTTCCAGTAAACTGCTCAAGAATACTTCCAGAAGATGTATAAAACAGAAGATGATTTAGATTCAACAAATAAGTATTCATATCGCTTGAAAAACGAGCATCGAAAATAGACCAATAGATACATTACATACAATCAATTTTATAATGTTATAACATTCAAAGTGAAGGTAAAAGTTACAACAAGGTCAATAAGAACAAAGCAATAAATCAAATAAAAACAAGATCATTATCTCCAACGCATCTAAGAAAATAAATGACAAGAAATTAACTCAAAAAATTAAAA